TGGCCGAAATCAGCCACAGCTTTAAGTGCAATAGATGCACTTTATCCATTTCCGGCCATTTGATGAAACTGCTCTGGCACTTTGTTTTGTCAGTTAGAGGCGGACAGTGGCCATTTAGCTGTGTAAACCTGGGCATATTTCTCTCTGCCTTTCTTTCTTTCTCTCTTACCGTTGACCTTTGCGGACTTCGAATTAGGTATCAGTGCGCTTTCAGGTCCTGGCCTTTCTTTGAAGGTTAAACTAACTATTGTTCACCGGACGGAATAATAATAAACAACTTCTTCCCTTCTCTCACACCATCTTGCCTGCTGTATCTTGTAAGATGGAGAGATGCTGAAGGGAAAAAAAAACAATTAGACAAAAAGATGGGGCTGTGTGAGGTAATGAAATAGCGTGTCTCATTGTAGCGTGTAATGGAGAGCAGTTTGAAGTTAATTGAGGGGAGATAGGACACTGGTGCGGTCTGCATGAGGAGTATTGCCTGGACTGCGGCTGTATCACTGAGAAAATCACTGAAGCAATTTCTTATCACAGGACACAAATGAGAATTATCTTGCTTTAACACACAAGATGGTGCGATCAATCGAACTCGAGTAATTAAATTTATATTATTTTCAGGCCAGTTCTAGGACAGGAGATTTTATACAAAGATTTTAGCAGACTTCTGTGCACAAATATGACGTAAGCACCATTCCCCCTGATTATTACATATGCTTTTATCTTTATCTTTATTTACTGTTGCCATTTATATTTTAAGGGATAATGAGTCTGTTTCATAGATTTCGAAACATGTTCAGTGTTCTTTCCAATGGCTTTAGAAGGTGATACACTGCCACCTCCTGGTATAAATGGTACATTGCATTGTCAGGTGACGTTGGTTTTATATATAACGTTTTTGTTTTTTTTATTATTAAAGGTGTGGGCAAGTAAACGCTTCGAAGTAAGAGGAAAAAGATAGGTCAATGACACACAGCTAGCTCAAATGCAAACAAATGATGGAAGCTGTGACATAAGTCAGCCTTCTGTTGACAAAGACAGTGAAGCCATGCATGCCGGTTATATTGATTATGTCTGTCTGGCTGATAGGCAGAGCAGAACCACAGCACCTGTATTTTATTAGCTTCCTGTTTAGCAAACCTTTTTGGCAAAGCAAGCACCACACGCCACGAGCCACCTGCAAGATTGCACTTCTCAATGGAGCGTGACCGAGAGGAAGGAACAGAGAGGACAGAATGTGACCTTGCTGTCTGGAAGAAAAAAATAAACAACAAAACTTAAGTCTTTTAAAATACATATGTGATTATAATGGGGAAAAGCCAAAGGTTATTTAGCGCAACACAAACACTTTACATTGAAAGGAAAAAAGTCTTCAGTTCCTTTGGCGAATGATTCAATGAATATTAAACAGACACCGCATATTGCAACCTAATTTGTTTTCATAGGCTCGGTTTATGTTAGAAGAACAAAGGGATGGTTTTAACCTACAGCTTACCCACTTAAAATTCAGCACTGGCTCCATTCACACAGATGCCTTTATTCTTCGCTGCTCGCTTTCTCATTGAAAATAGGTCATTTTCATGTGTACTATAAATGGCAATGTGTGTAGAAGTATGGGCCCATCAATAGGTAGTGTTAAAGGGCCACTTGTTTGTCATGTTTGTAATATGATTCATGATTCATGTATGCTGAAAAGAGGTTAACAAGTACGCTCAAGGGTTTACATATGCCTTAGCAGACATATGATGGGGACTACCAGCATTAATTTTATTAAGGTTGATACATTACTCTGTAGTTTTAAAATGAGGAAATCCCTCCAGAGATTTGTATACACTTAATCATAACTCCTTAAAAGAAGAAATACTGTGCATAATTTTCGGACACATTTAATTTACTGAGTGAAATTGTATGCATGTAAAGGATTCTACTTCTCATCTTTGTTGTTATAGCTTTTTGATAAAACAAGGGTTCCTCATAGTAGAGCATTGGCCTTTGGGCCTGAAGGTCGTGGGTTCGAGCCCACCATGAGACCTACTCCATTACTCCTACTGATGACTGCTGTCGTTGTGTCCTTAGGCAAGACACTTAACCCCACTTTGCCTGAAGCCCCCGCTGAAAGATCAAGGCCCCTGTGGACTCACCACCTGCAGGAGGATCAGTGAGGGGCCGGTGCTATATGTACTGGGTGCAGCTCTGACAGCCACCCCCCGACCCAGAAATGGATTAAGGGGAAGAATACGGATGGGTTCCTCATGGAAACAAGGTTTATCAAACTATTGCATTATAGTTGTGCTAAGATCAACCACATTCTGTTATCATTTCTGAAGCGCAAAGCAGGTGAATTTCATATTTAAAATTTCATAATGTCCTGACATCGGACATTCAAATGGGAAACACTAACTACAGAAATGTTTACATGAGTAAAAGTTCAAACATAATGAGATGTTGCGTCATCCATGTTGTGTGGCCTCATCAGCTTGTGCCTTGCAAAAGTGTTAATACAGTTTGCTCTGTACTGTTCTATATGACGTCATAGAACTCATACTGAATACAAAAACGTTCCCTGGCTCTGAAACATTATTAAATATATATAGACCTACATAGTATCCTTACTACCACTGACTTCAGAGGTCAGAGAGGATGCAGGGGGTGCCACAATTACGTTCATGAATCACGTCCAAACTGTATAAACCAGATTTGAAAAAAAAAAAAGCTAAAGATCAAATGGACCTATCTAATTACAGAAATCTATGAATGACGTGCGTACTGCATGAAAGACGTCAACAAAAAAACTTTCTTCAGATGCATTTATGATTATTGTTCAATAAAGGTGAGATGTTGCAATGAGAGTTTTCCAGCCCTGCCCTTGACCTAATGGTGTCTCCTGAGATGCCCAGACCACCGCAGGGGGGTACCAATTTCATATGCCACTCAATGACCTATTCACAGATGAGAAGCTGCATGAGAATTGATTCTGTGTTTTTCCTTCAGCAAAGGTGACCTTTAGGTGCAAGCTTTGGGTGCAACAACAACCAAAGAGATGCTTGAATAGTAATACTGAAAAACGTGCTGTTTAGTTTTGGAGATAACCAGCAAAAGCAGGCTCCGAGCTCATTCTTTGTATCGTAGCCAGATGTATAGGAATCCTGAACTGAACCTGAACTGTCTTTATTAAAATTTAGAGATTTAAATCTCTACATCACTGTGTGGTTTAAGTCACTTGAATTTATAGAGATCAAGTTTCTTTAAAAAACACAATATTTTTGCCAGATTTATTTGTACCTAAACTGGTACAACCGGACAGCAGCGCTCAAACATTTATTAACTAGGTCCACAGTGTTTTTCCTGGCAAAGGACTTGGTGTATTATTGCTTACAAAGTGGATTATTAGTAGTACTCCGAACAGCGGCACAGAATTTCTGTCAATGATTACCCTTCTCAGACAGTAACGTACAGTTAACATAAACTCCATACACAGCTTATACAAAAGTGGACTCGAGAGCTATAGATAACACCACCGGTTCATACATTAACTAAAGGAATTCTGGCATGTTCACTTAAAATGTTAAAATTGTATTAAATAAGTTGCACAATAATCTCTTTCTCCACAGATATGACATTGTTTTTTCAAATCGAATTTGAATTATTATAGTAATGGTTTCCCAGAGGAGTTTCCCTTTATTGGTCAAAAAGACATATGGGCTCGACACACGGGAGGCGACATCGCATCGCCTCCATTCATTTTCAATGGGACGTGCGCGACATAGCGTCAATCGCTAGCGAGCCTCCTGCTCAGCGACGGGCGAAAAACGTGCGTGTGAAATCCTCCCGCTCGTGCATGTATCGTGCACGCGCGGGTCAGCGACGCGATCCCAGAAAGTTGAAATCGGCTCAACTTTTCCCCGCTTGCCGCTTGCCGCATCGCGCCCCGTCTGTCATGTTATCTGAGCGACAGTGTTGAGTTTCGCTGATCGCTCTCATTTGTCGCCTCCCGTGTGTCGAGCCCTTTATATGCATGTCTATACTGAGCTGGGAGGCCTTTCCACAGATTAGACAGGGAACTTGTGTAGAGATACTTTTACACAATCACGACCAGACAAGCTCAAGCTTCAAAGTAGAATCAATTCATTATCAGTGTTTCAATTCAATTACACCTGTTCTTCCCTGGAAACAAGCAAACACTTTGAGATAAAACACTTCTATCTATTTCTCAAATCAGCAGTGTTTTCAGATAAGAGAAGATTGTTCCCTCCCTGGAATTGTTGGTGCATTGCTCACTTCAATCTAAGCCTTTGTAAGGGCTTTTTAGATACACAATGATTTGTAGAAACTTAACAAAGAGCTACTTAGTTTGGACATATTTAAAGACATTCAATATTTGCTCAGAGCCACGTTCTGTTGACACATCAGTACAACAGGTGGCACACTCTAACAAAGAGTCTTGTTTATCAGTGCGCAGTGTTATCACTATGGAATACAATAACCATACATGATCAACTACAGGATTAGTTATGCAACAGCCCATAGTGTACATATGGTCAGACTGCATAAGGCGGACACAAAAATAACTTTTGCGTCTAGCATTAGGTTAAAAGAAACGTATCTAACTTTATTGTAATGTATTCCCAGTTTGTTGAGTGTGTTTCACAATTCTGGAGAGCCACAGAGCAACTCCTTGTGTTTTTGTTTAGAGTGTAATTGATATACGGTTGATAAGTTTACTGCCTTTCAAGACTACACCCCAACCTTACCTTTAGCCACTGCTGACGGTAACTGTGCTTGTTGACGTCACTTTTGGGAATGTCTTGGGACCACCTCTGATGCGCTCCGGCCTTGATGGCCATCTCTCCGCCCACTTTTGTGGCTACCTGCAGTAGAAAAGGTTTGAGTTATAAAGGACTCTGACCAGAGACGTGCTCCATTCCATACCACAGAGCAGTGGGCCGGTCGTTGGAGTTTCAACTGAAAGACTGCAGCTCGCTGGTGGCTGTTCAGGATCCACTATGCTGTTATTGACTATACTTCTCCTTACGCTGACAAGTAGCCTGGGCAGGTGGGTTTCTTATACAGGAACTGAAAAGAGAAACAGATTCACAGATTACTAGTAGGACATTCAATTAGGACATTTAAGCAATTATTGAAATGTTCTTTTATTTCAGTGCTCAAGATGAAATTTCTTTACCTGGGTGGAGAAGTGATGCAGGTAGGTAAAACTACTAGGGGTGGTTCTCAACTGGAATGATGTCTGGAGTCACTATTAACATGGCCGTGATCCAAATAAGAGCTTAATAATAAGAGTTATAAGAGTTTGTAAATAATGTAGAATACTCATACTTAAGTAGTACGCCAAAGCTGGAACAATCTTGACAAAACGTATGTGTCTTTGAGTTAAGTAAGTAAGTTAAGTTAGTTTTTCAGCTTTATAAGTTGTGGACACAACACTATGGACACACTTAATATTATTTTCTTCAATTAAGGGCAATGTTTTTTTAATGTACTTCTTTTCTAAATTCCTTTTTTTACAGTGTAGAGGGAAATCTTAAAAAATATCTGGCAACCACTGAACTAGAGAATGCATATTAAGCATAAATGATAATTAACATTGCAATGTTCTTCTTTTTCCACTAGAGTATGTCGCACAGTGTTTAAATAATGGAGAACCAGGGACACTGTGTGACATGAAGGCAGTCCAGGAGGGGAAAGGTACATTACAATTACAGTCGTTGGTTTCATTGCAATAAAATCTGCACAAGTCTCATTCAGCCGCTTGTTCCGTTTGCTGAGGTATAAAAGTGAAGTACCTAAAGAGGATGTAGCCATGTACCAGATGTTAGAGAACAGTATAGAGTTAAGTCAACACTTAAGACACACTCCGGAGTTGAATATAGAATTGTCCTCTAATAATATTCTGAGGATGATTATCTCACATGTAAGACTTCACAAGGTACAAAGAATTAGAACTCATATTTAAATCAACAAAAGGTAATTTCAGACTAAAAACAAAGTTGAATTCAACACTTGACACACACATACCTACTTGAATGAAAGTGAATCAAAGTGACACATGAACTATGAAACACCGCTACTATTTGTTTTTCTCCAATATTTGTGTTTCAGTGACTACTTTAAACTTAGGGCCTCTCTCGGTGAGCGGTGAGGCCTGCCTTGAGTTTTGGTACTTGTCTCCTGTTATGCCAAAGATCTTCAGGCTGACTGCATACATCAAAGACAGTTTTGGTTTACAAAAAATCTGGTCCACAACAGCTCAGTGGAGGAGTGGATCCACAACATGGACTCAAGTGTTTGTACCTCTCACCAATGTCACACTTGGGAATGAGGTAAGCTGAAAGAAATTGGGTAAACACAAATTCCTCATGCTAATTTCTAAAAATAATTGTATTAGGTGGTATTTCAAATAAATCGGCCAATGTTTCAACGGGAAGAAACCATAATAAAAAATATTGGTGTAAGAAAAGGTTCATGCGGTCAGTAGGCTTTTCTCTTCAAACATCGCAAATTCTTCCAAAAGAAATAACGGCCTAATAGCTTGCCCCCCTTTGTTCGCAGGAGCCCAGTGTGAAGCACACACTCAGTTCTGGCCCGATGAGGCCACCCGCTGCCTCTGCTCTGAAGAACAGCTCTCTTGCTCTCATGTTCCCAGCTCAGGGATGTGCACCATCCACAGTCACAGCGATTGCACCACGTTTGACGGAGCGCTCTTCCGCTTCATGGCCCCCTGCAGCTACACACTGGCCAAAACCTGCTCTGCGACTCCAGACCTGTCCCAGTTCAATGTGGAAGTGGTCAGTGGGCAGAGCGACAACTCTTCTTCAATGACGAGTGTGGAGAAGGTCAATGTGAACATCAACAACTTCCGGATATCATTCGTCAAAAGACAAACTGAAAGAGTGGTGGTATGTATTTATGTCATTGTGATCGGGTAGTGTAACACATTTCAGATTTCACAAACATAAAGTTTACATTTAGATTTGACCTAAAATCTCGCTTAGATTGTCCAAGTTTATACATACATACAAAAAAACTACAAACTGTCATAAATATAAATATACAGCAGTGGGTTCTTTCTTAATAAACACAGTAAAATATAGGATTTTAAAAAGTAACCTGTCTACAATACTTGAAATCAAATGTGCTGAGAGCTGCAGTTTCCGATAAAATCATACAAATGCATCAACCAAATATCCAATACTAGTATTAATTTGATAATTCTAGATACCCTGTTTGTGGACAGCTATTTCAATATAGTGCACTTTAAAGCAGATGACCCATCTGGACTTTGAACAAGTGCAATGTTTAGAGACAAAATGTCCTCAGATAGATAAGCTGCAAACTAAAAGCCTATAAAACTGCCTTGTTGGATTTAATAAAGTAATGCTGTATTTCAGGTTAATGGAGTCTGGAGGACACTTCCACTTACTCTGGCCAGTGGCACAGTGAGGGTCAGTAGCAACCAAGCGGCTGTTCTATTTAACAGCAGCTTTGGCCTTTTTGTATCGTTTGACTACACTGGAGCGCTTCATGTCGTCCTTCCATCGCGCTACATTGATAAGGTCTGTGGCCTATGTGGGAACTTCAACCAAAACATGTTGGATGACCAATCAAGTTCAGATCTAGCTGACAGCTGGCAAACAGGAGGGAACGCCTTGGCCTGTGAAACCATTTTCGTACCACATCACTGTGACCCGCAAGAAGAAGGGGGGTATGCTAGCGAAGCCTATTGTGGAGCTTTAAACTCAAACACTGGCCCCTTTGCAGCGTGCCAGGAGGTGTTAGAGACCGAGAGCTACTTCAAAGGCTGTGTGTACGGCATGTGTGCTTCTCATGGAGACCCTGCAGTGCTCTGTGATACACTCCAGGTTTACGCCGATTTATGCAAAAAGGCCGGAGTCGACGTGCAAATGTCAAAAAACTATTCATTATGCTGTAAGTGACCAAATACATTCACACTCACAAAATATGAAAAATAGCAGAATGTGCATGTTTTTCCTTTAGCTCCTCAGTGTGGAGAGAACAGCCATTACAACTCATGTGCTGAGGGCTGTCCTGAAGTCTGCTCACCACAGGACCAGGTCTCATCTTGTAACAGCTGTGAGGATCGATGCGAGTGTGATCCAGGCTTCAAGCTGAGCGGTGGCAATTGTGTCCCAGCTGAAGACTGCGGATGCTGGCATAAAGGACAACACTATGAGGTACCTAGTAAAAAAATGACATAATTTTTTTCTTGACGTGAATTGAGGGATGTTGTATTTTTCTCACAGAAAGGGGCAGCATTCATGGAAGGAGAGTGCGATCTGCAATGTGTGTGTATAGGCAACAATAATGTACAGTGCAGATCGTCGCAATGTTCTGCCGGGGAGGTTTGCAGTGTACAAAATGGGGTGAAAGGATGCTTCGCCTTCAGTCCGGCCACGTGCAACATTTATGGAGACCCACACTATGTCACTTTTGATGGGTTTGCGTATGACTTCAATGGGGGATGCAGTTATGTACTTACAACCACTTGTGGAGGCCAGAGCTCAGTGGAGTTCACAGTAACGGGGCACAACATGCACCCCCCTCATAATAACTTCAGTAGCTCCAAACTGGAAGCTGTGACACTGGAGGTCGAGGATTTGCAGATTACCATCCACCAAAATGGCCAAGTCTATGTAAGTATTTTCTTTTGTTTGTGGTTTCTCTGGCTATGTTTTGCTCAAATTATTAGGAAATATATATATATATCTATATAAAACAATAAATAAATAATTTGAAAAAAAGTATGATTATATATATTATATATAAGGTAAGGTTCCTAATAATAGGGAGCTTTTGAGTTTCACACAGGCTTAAACAGTAGCTACTATATTTGCAGTCATGTATTAATGACAATCCTCTATAACCAGCATACCTTTGTTTATTGGAGACATTGTTTGGTCAGTGAATGATGTCAGGTGTTTGCCTTTTGGGAGGTATGTGAATACTGTTAGGGTTGGGGTTGTTTTCAATATCCTGTAAAAGATGTACTGTAAGTTTGAGATATTTTAGATATGTAATCTATGATCTCTTTTTGTTTGAAAATATAACATTTTGAGTAAATAAATATTAAATAGTAATACTACATTTTGAACAAACAAACAATTTGTTATTTCATTTGCTCACTAGTAACATATATTATTTACAGGAAAACAACAGCCAAGTTCTACTGCCCTATTTAACCAGTGGAACATACGGCCAGGTCAGAGTCCAGGAAGACTCTGGATATACTGTCCTGGAAACAACCTTTGGCTTGAGGATCCTTATGGATAGAGAACACAGACTGTTCCTGCAGGTGAATGAGCACCACAAGTACGAGTTGTGTGGACTGTGTGGTACTTACTCAGACAGGCAGGACGACGATCTAGTGATGCCCGGAGGCCAAAATGCAACCAGTATTTTTCAGTTCGGAGACAGCTGGAAAATTCAAGCTAACGATCAGTAAGTTATATTTAAACTAAACTATTCAGTGCCAAATGAAGTTGATATTCATGAATTTAAATTATGGTGAAGGTTATTTGTAATCCGAAAATGTTTTGTAGGTGTGTTTCTCATCCAAATGATCCCAAACAATGTACTTCACACGAATTAGACCAGGCTTATAATCAATGTTACGCTCTACTGGAAGAGGGCTTTAGCTTATGCCATGAAGTCATCCACCCAGAGATCTACATCACCAGCTGTGTGCATGACTACTGTGCCGAGGAGGGAAATCAAATCACCTTGTGTGAGTCTCTCAAGTCCTATGCTGCAGCATGCGCTGTGGCTGGAGTCAACCTGGGCCAGTGGCAGGATGGCACCATCTGTGGTGAGGATACTCTTATAGGATGACCATGGAAATGTGTATAGGAATGGGTGTGTAACAAATAATCTATTTTATTTTATATTTTCTTCACTTAATTGTTCTCTTACTCAATGCCAATTAAGTCAGTATATATTTTGTTTTTGGGCTCTTTATTTTCTGACCAACTGGCATAATTATAGACAGTACACAAACTCTGTACATATCTGGCTTTTAACACTGTTATCACTCAATAGCAGGTGACACTTTTTAAATGCTTTTAGTGCATAAATGTTTTAAATTGATTTTATGTAATTTTATTGTGAAGCACTTTGGTCGCCTTGAGTGTTGTAAAGGGCTCTATAAATATAATTGATTGATTGATTGATAAGTGTTATGACATATCTCTGTGAACAATGAAATAAGAATAATAAATAAATAAATTGCCACTGTTGTTGCAGCGATCCAAACCACTGTTAACCCTCAGACTACCTCAACACCATTACCAGCACCAGACCAGACACGTGAGTAAGCAGTTACTTAACTCCAATTATAAATAGAAGTGAAGTACGTCCAGGTTTTAAACAAAACTATATCATTTATTAACATGATATTTTTACTTTTAGTGTGTCCCCTGAACTGTGACTTTGAAACAAATCTCTGTGGGTGGGAGCAATTGGTACAGGACAGTTTTGATTGGACAAGGCATACAGAGACCACACCATCAAGCCAAACAGGACCAAACTATGATCACACCAGTGGAGGTAAATTTGTCAATATCAAGTCACGCAAACTCTGGTCTGTAAGGGTTTATCTTTTTCTACTATTTCTTGGAACAGAAGGATTCTACATGTATATTGAGGGAAACAGCGTGACCCATGGTGACTCCGCACGCATGTTGAGTTCTCTTTGCCAGTATGGACAACCCATGTGTCTGCACTTCTGGTACCATATGCATGGGTCTGCCACTGCCATGGCTCTCAATATCTACATGCTCCAAGGCACTAGTGTCACAAAGCTTTGGTCCAAGAAGAATAACCAAGGGCCTGAATGGAAACTAGGACAAGTGGACATCACAGCATCTGGTCCATATCAGGTATGCTACTCAATACATTTTTGTTCAATCTTTTACACTTTCAGAGTGAAAGCTGACACTCATAAAATCTAAAAAGAGAAACTTTTTTCCAGATAATCTTGGAAGGAATTCGAGGCTCTACTGACCAATCAGATGTTGCTATAGATGACATATCTATTCACTTTGGCACGTGTTCAGGTCAGACAGGGAATCTTAAATGACTTCAGTTAAAAATCTTAGAATTTGATATGTAATGGAATATAATCTAATTTGTACCAATACATATTTAAGAGAGCATTCCTGGCCTGGCTAGCGGGACTAAACCTCCTAACACAACTTCACAACTGATTACCACACAAGTGATTCCCACACAAGGTACGTGTAAAATTATTACATAAATGAACTTTTCCTTAGGTTTTATATGCCCTATCCATTTTTAGTGTGTGATCTCGACTGTAACTTTGATAAAAGCCTTTGCAAATGGAATCAGATGGTGACTGATGCTTTTGATTGGACTTGGTTCAGTGGTTCTACACCAACTCTGATGACTGGGCCTCCTTCTGACCACACGGGGGGTAGGCGAATGATTAGATTTTTTAATATTTAAATTAAGAGATCCTTAATAAGGGGATGTTTCAGTTTATTAATACAATCATTAATATACAACTATTCCCAATGTAATAGGTGGCCACTACATTTACATCGAGGCTAGCAGTGTGTCCTACGGAGATACAGCTCGACTGATCAGTTCTGAGTGCTCACACTCTGGAGCCCAGTGTCTTCAATTCTGGTATCATATGTACGGGTCTGCGGACACGATGGGCCTCCATGTTTATGTGGTCGAGGGTAGAAACGCCCGCACTGTTTGGCGCCAAAGAAACAACCAAGGAAATATGTGGCACATGGCACAAATTGACCTCAGAACAACAGGAGTTTTTCAGGTACATTAACCAACATTTTGTATGAAATTGTCTTATTTATGCCACACCTTGTTATGTATACTTTTTAGATTATTTTTGAGGGCAGAAGAGGATCTAATGACTTGTCTGATGTAGCATTAGATGATGTGTCACTTCATTATGGCCCATGTTCGGGTAAGTCTTTGTGATTAAAAAAATGGAAACACTTAAAATATCATTATATATTTAAATGTTTTAATATTATATTAAGATGTTTGAACTTATATCAATCTAATCTCAAGCTATACTAAATTTACAATAATGCAGTATATTCTTATGACAGAAATAAATGTACCATCAACAAGTACACCTGGTACTTCAACTGCTCACACTTCAACAGTCCACCCTAGCGCAGAGCCTACATGGACAACTGCTCCTACTGACACCACAGTGTCTTGTGATACTGAGATCCCAACAACAACTCCTACAACTTTGCCACCACCGGGAACTGAAGTAACAACTGAAGGTCCGCAACAAACTACTCTAGAACCTGAAATTGAAGGCACAACAGAAGGACCACAACAATCAACTCCAGAACCGGAAACTGAAGTAACCACTAAAGGACGGCAAACAACTACTCCAGAACCCGAAATCGAGGGAACAACCGAAAGACCACAGCCAACTACTCCAGAACCGGAAATCGAGGGAACAACCGAAAGACCACAGCCAACTACACTAGAACCTGAAATCGAGGGAACAACCGAAGGACCACAACCAACTACTCCTGAACCCGAAAGTGAAGTAACCACTGATGGGCCGCAAACAACTACTGCAGCAGAATTTGAGACGACACCAGAACAACCCACTTCAACCACCGTCCCTTCAGCCTGGCCCACTGAAGACAAGACAACAGAAGGACCTCAACCAACCGTTGAACAGCCAACACCATCCGAAAGACCACAACAGACAACAGCAGGTGACTTTGAGACAACCGATGTGCCTATTACAACGACTCAAGTTCCAACAACAACTCTCGGAACTTCAGAAACAACCAAAACGGCTGTTCCATCGCATCCGCCCACTGACACTACCACAGAAACCACTCCGACTCACACTACAACTGCACCTCAAACAACAACAGCTACGACGCTTCCTCCACAAACTCCCAATCCAAGTAAGTAATGTTTGTTGAATGTTTGAAACTTAGAACTTCTATGTGATTCATTCGTTGGGATTTTTTCTAGCTCCGTCGTGTCCGGCCAACAGTCACTATAGCTCTTGTGTCTCTGCATGCGCACCTACCTGCTCTCACCTGCATGGCCCACCTGGCTGCAGTCAAAGTGACTGTGTGGCGGGTTGCACTTGTGATGAAGGTTATGTGCTATACAATAGGGTCTGTGTACCGATTCAAAAGTGTGGTTGTATGGATGACAGTGGGAAGAAATATGACGTATGTATATCTTTCACTTACCATTCAATTGTGTATATATTGAAAAGTGTTCTTCTAATTTGTATTTTTGTCCATTATAGTTTGGCGACGTGTGGTATTCAAGGCATTGTATGGAAAAGTGTAAATGTGAAAAACGCAGAGGTGTGGGGAAAATAAGCTGTGAGGAGCAAGAAGAATGCAGCAGAGATGCGGTTTGTCTTCAAAACAACAACGGAGAATATGTTTGTGAGAAAACAGGTAATGAAAACAAATACAACCCTAACCCTGACCTACAGTACCATATTTACTGGACTATAAGCCACACCTGATAATAAGCCGCGGGCTCTAATTTTTAGAAGAAAAAAAAATGTTTGTACTTGTACCTGTCCAACATTGTAGTAATGAAAAATATAGCTCAAAAACGTTCACCCTGTCTTCTTTTTGCTGTGAGTAATAAGAGTAAGAGAAAGAAATGAGTCTCTGGCTGTTCTTAAATCTTCCAGTGTGAAGCAGAACAGGAAAGGAGTGACATCTACTGATGCTTTTTTCACATATCTATACAGAGAACCATAAAACGATTTATTACATGAGGTATTTACACAAAGATTATATAAGTGAGGACTTTTAAACTTTATTTAATCTGCTTGATTGACAAATTGTACCATTTAATCTGACCTCTTTGAACTACTCATCAATTCTGGTCTACTGTTACTTGGCAAAATGTTTACGGCACTGCAGGAAAAGTAAACGTAAAAATAAAAGAATTAAGCCACAGCCTTCAAAATGCAGGAAAAAAGCCGCTGCTTATAGTCCAGAATTTATGAAACTTACATTATGAATAACTAAGATTTATACTATGACATTTCAGATTTTAGTGACTGCACCATCAACAAAGACCCAGAGTACAGAACGTTTGACGATCGGAAGCATGGATTTGAGGGGGAACACTCGTATGTGCTTGTACAAACCAACCACTTACCAAATACTCTGCAGAGCATTTACATAGAAGGAATCAATGGATACTCCGAAGACCATGAAGACAGCAGTGAGGAAAGACGCAGACATGACGATGATGACGATGATAGTGACGAAGACAGCAAAGAAGATAGTGATGAAGACAGTGACGAAGATAAGGAGAGTGTACTGAGAGCACTGAAGATCAGAGTTTACAATCACACTGTAGTGTTCAAGCCAAGCAGGAGAGTCGTGGTAGGAATTCAAATCATTTGCTATAATCATATATTATCAAAACGGATGAAGTAAGTGAAATAAGTGACGTGTGTTTGGTTTTAGGTGGATGGAAACAGAGTTGACACGCCCGTCTCTCCATCTTCTGGTCTAAAGATTCAGAAGCGTAGGTATCGTCTCTACTTGCAAACAGATTTTGGACTTTCCGTTGAGTTTGACGGGAAAGGCAAAGCAGGTATATTTATTTTTGTCATTTCTAATTATGTAAACAATGCAACACATGCTTACCGTGTATTATGAATCCACAGAAATCATGCTGCCCCATGTGTATAAGCACAAGGTGGGCGGTCTTTGTGGCAACTTTGATGGTCACAGACACAATGACTTCATGAAGCCAGATGGGACACAGACTAGAAGTGTTCAGGAATTTGGAGAGAGCTGGAGAGTATGAAGTCGCAATTTGCACTGAATGTATCAACAACAACAAAAATGGTTGAAATAATGTCTACTCTTACTTCATATGTATCATTTTGTCAAATTTAATATCCATGTAACGTGATATAAAGTGATATTTTTGCAAAGTTACGCAACTACAACATTTACAGGCAGATGTTTTTCATTGAAAAATAAAATATTGGAATCCTCTTATAAAGTTTTGCAAACATAATTATATTATTGAATATTATTTTTCATGTGTGTTCAACCCGTTTTGTTACAATGTACACTTTTGTACTTTAATAGTAGTCTCCCCGCACATATAAGGAACACAAAAGAACACATTTAATATATATTTTTTTTTGTTCTTTTCACTATTGTACTTGTCCTTCACAAATCTTTCTAATGTGGCTTAGATGATCCCTTGTGCCAGAAGATATATGCAAAGTTTTTTGTGCTAATTTAGGTAATAACATCACCATCCTTTCTTTGCCTAACAGTATTTATGTTGCTATGGAAGAAAGTTTCAAATGTACTGTATGTCTCTCATAGGCTTCAATGTACTGTTGTAATGAGTCACTGTATGGAACACTGTTTTATCAAGCTAATTATTTTCACAATGCTATCTTGTTTGAGAAGGCCAGCGGGACGTTTCGCAAGTTTATAATAATGCGATTGAATGTATAATAAACAAAGCCATGAAGTTCTGCTTGTGTATTCAGTGGTGCCACACACACACACCTGCATTACACGCAAAACTAGAGCCTGAATCACAGAATGACATGCAGAGGAACAATTTCCGTAACATGATCTCCTAAAAATAGACCATTTGTGTAACGTCATGAAACAGTACAATGACTGTCATTCAAATGTAACATCCGCCTTCAGATGATAAAAGAGTACTGAACAAAGTGGTCTGGGGCAAAGAATCATGGATGGGACTGTGCTCAGGACCATTATTCTTTTGTGCATCTTCACCAAATGTATCAGTGAGTAATGTCAATATATTTGCATCAAATAGAATTACAAATTAGTGACAGCTCAAAACATATCTTGAACAATGAATGTTTTTTCAGGTCAAACTCTTGCACCAACAGGTAAGTGACTTATTCACAATTAAAACTACCATTTACCGTGTTACATTTAAGACCATTGAAGAGTCACATTCATGAGCTTTTTACCTTTTCTGGCTCATTCTTTTGTCACGAAGCAGGATGTGCAGGTCCATCTCTGCTCTGTTGTCCAGGGCAAAACAATAGCTGTTTTGCAGCCGCTGGATGTTTTTATGACGAGATATGTCTGACTCTTGGAGACTGTTGCTCTGATTATGTCTCCTCCTGTAACCAAACAAGTAAAAGAAAATGTGTGTAATTTTCAGTAATTAAATGTCATGGTGTTACTGTTTTCTTTAAGATGCTACAATGACCACATCAGGACAAAATATCACAACTTCACAAAGAGTCACACCTCCAGGTAAAGCCATCAAGTACTATTTTACTTCAACATTCAAGATTCTCAGATAAATTACATTCTATAATAGTATAATTCTGGGCTAGGTTACCTGTCTTCGGCTTGTCCAGTTTAGCCCTGGTTTGATAGGATAAATTTTGTTTTTTTGAGTGTGTTTTACACAACATGAAGAGAACTAAATATATCAATTGTGTGTACACCATTAAACAACCTTAAAACAAATTTAAAAAAATAAAAAAGAGAGAAATGGCGACCAGTATGAGGTCCACAAGTACACGCTTCTTGCACAGGCTTGAAAAAACTATACACGGTAGATATTAAAAAACATGTATTCTGGCATTAAGATAAGATAAGATAAGACAGACTTTATTGATCTCACACAGGAGAAATGTACATGTCACATCTGGCATGGATACAATCACTCAAGATTGTGCAAAAAAAAAAAAGAAAGACGCATACAAAATATTATCTCTAGTAGAATAAAGTGTCATGGTAAGTAACCAGCTATAGCATTATAACTATAAGTTTAATTTTGCTCACACGTGTGGCTAACCCAAAAAGGACTTCAAATGCAAGCAACACAAATAGCCGTGAGACAAACCGTATGTGTTTAATGTGCCAGCACAGCATTCCTATGTACCTGCTTTTTCCTGCTCGGGCCAAAGTCAGACTCGGACTAAACGGCCTTGATTTTCAGGATCTACTGCTTCTGTGAACACAACCCGCTCCACTGAGAGAACTCCTGATCAACAGAGCAGTGTGGGCACACCACCAGCAGAGGGCAGCACCTCCACGGGCTTCACTACAGGTGCGCACTCCTGCATTACACGCAAAACTAGAGCCTGAATCACATGACATGCAGAGGAACAATTTCCGTAACATGATCTCCTAAAAATAGAATTACAAATTAGTGACAGCTCAAAACATATCTTGAACAATGAGTGTTTTTTCAGGTCAAACTCTTGCATCAACAGGTAAGTGGCTTATTCACAATTAAAACTACCATTTACTGTGTCTAAAGAGTCACATTCATGAACTTTTTACCTTTTCTGGCTCATTCTTTTGTCACGAAGCAGGATGTGCAGGTCCATCTCTGCTCTGTTGTCCAGGGCGAAACAATAGCTGTTTTGCAGCCGCTGGATGTTTTTGTGACGAGATATGTCTGACTCTTGGAGACTGTTGCTCTGATTATGTCTCCTCCTGTAACCAAACAAGTAAGGGAAAATGTGTGTAATTTCCAGTAATTAAATGTCATTGTGTTTTTAAGTGAAATCACTTTTTTCTTTAAGATGCTACAATGACCACATCAGGACAAAATACCACAACTTCAGAACAAGACACACCTCCAGGTAAATCCATCAAGTATTGTTTGACTTCAACATTCAAGATTCTCAGATAAATTCAGGGCTAGGTTACCTGTCTTCGGCTAGTCCAGTTTAGCCCTGGTTTGATAGGATTTTTGTAGTTTTTTTGAGTGTGTTTTACATAACAGGAAGAGAACTAAATTTATCAATTGTGTGTACAACATTAAACAAACTTTAAAAAATAAAGAGAATAAAAGAGAGAGAGAGAAATGGTGACCAGTATGAGGTCCACAAGTACACACTATCTACAAGCTTTTCCTTTTTCTAGGCACATTCATTGCTAAATTGTAGCCTCCTGGATAAGTGAAGCATACAAATAAAATGTATCCCGCAAAAAATGATCTAATAAATGAAAGAACATTTGCATAAATACGCACACATGCATACACACACACATACATAAACACACACATAGGCAAGCACACGTACACACACACACACACACAACATTGACTTTCTGTGCATTCTCGTATTATTTTATTAATATCATGAGAGCCCAATACCATGGCCTCAGACTTAGAAACCATTTGTTTGAAATCCAGACATTTCATCAATAAAATCATATACAGCACATTTTCCGATCTCTGTGATACACCATGGTCCAGTGAAGGAGGACTGAAGCTGGTCTCTATATCTGGTAACCATATCACACGACATAAACTACTGAGGTATCATGGAAGTGATTAGTTTGGAACTTTGCAATGGAGAAATATGATGCGTTGTCCATTGTCCATTAGTAGTTTAACACTACACAGTCTGAATCAATAATGTTAGTGAAGCAAGCGTCTTTGGGTGTCATGAAACTCACAATATAAAAGAACAATGCACTGTTATTATTATTGATTGTAAATCTATGTGTATTATCTTTTTGTGCTTCATAGACATGCAAAAAACCCATGTTTACCTCAAATTAAAAGTCCATACCAGCTCCAGAGAAAACCAATCTGCTCTTCACACCAGCCTTTCTAATGTAAGTATATGGAAACACAAACTATTCTTTAAGTGGAACATTTTCAGATGGCTTCACATTTCTCTGTGTAAAGTTTGTTTCTCAGACTCTTCTACGGAACTGCAGTGATTGCACTTTTTCTTTTAGAAGATCAAAAGGAACTTGAGAGTGGGGCTCTGACTGTGCGGAGGAACCTCTGCACTAAAACCGTGTGCTATGATGGATAAAATACTGAAATGTTATAAAAATGCTCTGCATGCGTGTATTCTTTGAAGATTGCTATATATGTCAGCTCAGGTCAAACACCCCTAAATGTCAAGGTGTGGACTTTGTTTTTTATTTTGACTTCAGTTCTCTGTGGTTTTGTGTTAGGTCAGTTTTACTTCCTGTCATGTCCCTTCGTTTGATTGTCTGCTACAGTCATGGATCTATTATAATAACGGCTACAGTATATGTTGCTTGTGCTCATCCCTGTTGGTTGGTAGTCCATATATTTGTCTGTCACTGTCTGTCCACGTTCCTGTTTGTATTTTTGAGTTTGTTTTTCACTTAGACATTTTCTTTATTGCATCATTAAATAATTATTTTTTGAAATGCCCGTGTGCCTTTATTTCAGTTTCCAGTTCTTTCAGAGTTTTTGCAGACAGAATGAAGACAGGGAAAGCATTTTATATGACAATATGAGCCACAGCAAAGACGCCAAACCCGCAGGTGTTTCCAAGTCCAAACAACATAATCGCTGTGACCTCAAAGGTCTGATCACTTGAATATCATGTCTTGCATTTGTCCCATGTCCATTTTGTGAAGGCCATTTCTTCCACAGATCCCTCCTTTGTTTCACCACGTGACTCTAAAGTGATTATGTAACTCTTCTCTCGCACACTATTTTTTACTTTTACAATTGTTTTACGTTTTACAATCATACACAACTAAATTGTGTTTTTTATCATCCCAATAATTAAACCCATGACACTGCCACATGTGTTTTACATCCTCTTCAGAAATACGCTACAAAGTACAAGTACATTAATTTGTTATCATTTTGTTTTAAATAAGCATTGTGTTTGTGTGGGTGGGGAGTTTGACTTAGATCATGCTGCTGGCGAAACAAAAGCTGCCATGAGTCCCATGTACCAGCAGAGGGCGCTCCTGGCGCTGTTTCAATACTTTACATCAGTTTCAATGTAGAGCACGTGTCTGAGGTGATCAATGTGAACAGACTGTCTTTATCACAGAAGTGGAGTTAGATCGACACTACGTTGACAGGTATAATGACTTTGTGAAAAAGGACAGATTTAAAACCACCATGCAAAAATATTAAGCCTACTGTACATTGTATAATTTATTTACAGTATTTCTTTTTTCTTTTTTGTTGTACCTGGGTTTGGAGCGTAACCTAAAGGATTTCATCAGGTCAAATTAAAGCAGTAGGCTAATTGTATTAATACAAACTAGTTTTTACCATGGATCCATTATGTCTCATTTAGGCCATTTGGATACAAGCTGCTTGCTTGTTGAACGTGTTAGCTATTTTCTTAAGGAAAAACATATGGTATTAAAGTAAGTGGTGTTTGGGCTACACTAGTTAGTCCTGCCTGGTTTGAATTCATTGTTATGCTAAATATATTTTTCTTTTGTCATTTTGTAATGTATATATATATATATACACACACACTAGTTCTTTATGTATAGTTTCTTATTATTTAAAGAAGAAACAAAACATCAAGGCTCAACTCAAAGGATAACTTCAGGGCTAGTCCACAACATCAAGGAAGTGTTGTTTGGCTTCATTGGTCTAAACAGTGACCCCATCACTTCAAGGCAGAAGGATGAGACAAAAATTTAATTAAGAGGGCACAAGAGGAAACAGGTCCACACAGCCTGAGGGGCCGGTGTAACCTCTGGGAGCGGATAGTTCGAATTAGACCGGATTGTCAGTCCAGACCCACCTTTGGCCCTGAAATCTAATTGGACAGAGCCTGGGCCCTCGTTCTGTTTGACCACTGCAGTTGAATGCATGTCGTCTATAGTAACCTGGAAGTCATTGCTAATAGGATACTTTCTCCCAGTGTCCACAACAGTAACGTCAGCTGTGCATGGTGCAAATCAGGAGCGTGTGTTCCCTTTTAAACATTTCTCCTCAGCCCTGATGTGCAATTGAAGTTAATTCATAGACCAAGACTGGGGTTCACGTTTCGCCACAGCTTTGTAAACTTAGATCATTTGGGGTCAGCCGGAGTTGAGGCTCCCTGTAGCCCACACTGCGTCCACTCTCTAAATATCAGTTACAATGTAATCGCAAAGGAATGTCGCCTACTCTTGACCAACTTATTACTGCATGGGGCTTGACTCTAGCTAGAATAAATTGAAATGATAGATGACATTTTCTATTATTTGTATACTTGGCATCTGCAAGGATATTGTTAAGGCCTTGGGACTGCCGAAAATGAGGAACATATAATACTTTGAGCCAAATTGTAGAATGATTTGACAAAATAATATGAATATCAAAGCTCATAATAATTAAATCTTATGTTGATGGCATGAAACTAGTTGGATAGATTTTATTACATACATATTCTATTTCTGTGGTTTGTTAGTTAGGTACCCCATGAGAGACCATAACAATTAATCGTGACGAGCAGTTATATTTTTTTCAGTGGTATTTCTCGATAATACGATGTGACACATAAGCAGTAGATTACACACATGTCAAGTAATTTTCTTTTAAATTGCAGGTCAGCTCTCCCTCCTCCTCACGTCCGCGCTGTCCACACCATCAGGCTGCAGAGGTATCCGCGGTTCCCTGCGGTGTTTGGATGTCGAAGGCCCCAGTGTTATTGATCCTGATTGGGCCTCACAGGAGGAGATTCCGGCCTGGCTTTGACCCGCACTTTTCCATGTTTCCACCCTTCTTTCAGATCATCAAGAAGCCGCCGCCGCTGCTCCCCGTCCACATTGGCTTGCGTGAGATTTCTGATTGTCATATGGAAAGAGAGAAAAAGCGAAGTTTCTCAAAGAGTTTACTAAATCACTAGCAGGTCTTTGCCTGAGTAGCTAACTTGGTGATTGTCAAAACATCCCCTCATGCGTTCATTTGCCCTGCTTCTCCCCTATTAGAAAGATTGTGGCCCATAAGTTGCTCTCTTCTTCAAAGTCAAAGTTGTCAACATGAAATTCCTGACTAGATGACTGCTGCGCATTGATGAGATCTTTATGGGACTTTCTTTTCTTTGTTTCGAACACATTGCAGCGTCAGTGTCATTTCAAGACGGTTTCGAACCAAGTGCACAAGCTTTAGCAGAAGTAGTCTATCTCTCCAGTGCTGATATTGTGTCCATTCATGCGGATATGTGTCCTCAAATAGCTCTGGGATTTTGGAGAGTAATGACAGGAGAATAGTCTGGTCTATGTATTTCATTGTGGTGGTGGGAAAGACAATAAAGCATGGAGCAGAAGTTACAGCGAAGTGAAGTGAGAGAGACACTTGTAGGAATGGAACTTTTCAGTAGCTGTGACAAGGTAGTGCCAAATGAGGGTAGATTGCCTCAACTCAGAACACACACTATTTCCCATAGGTATTTTATTCAATTCAGGGTTTTTTCGAACTAACGATATCCTAAAAAAGAGTGACTCAGGGCGGAAAACGGTGATTTTTGGAATGAAAAAGTCCAGTCCAGACCAATCAAACACAATAGACTGCTTTGAATCAGCTCTATACTCTAACAACAACCATTCAAAAAAAAACTCTTTTAAGCCATTTTTCTAGCGTGGGTCTTTCTTCTCCGCCTGCTGTCTTTGTCCACCTTCCTTCACTTTCGGTTAGGAGCCTGGAAGCAGCAGAAACGCCTGGATTGTTGTCAGCCCCGGTCAAGTAGTCTCCTTTCAAAGAGTGTTGAGGTCAGGAGGTTAAGTTGTCTCCAGTGTGTTGCTGCTTGACTGACACTCCTCTCCAAAGCAACCTTTTCGGCTTTTATCACTCTTTGTGTCCTACAAGTTTGTGGAGTGCAACGTGATCCCAGTTCTGCTTTGCTGCACATGCATTCTAACAATAAAGTAAACATAACTTATCATTTCTGAAGGGAATTATGAATGGCATAGACAGCTGTGTATACCTGCTCCTGAGGGAAGATGTAAAAGACAGGAGCCTGGTAATGCAGCAGTAATCCTTTGAGAGACTCACCAACTGTGTGAGCGGTCATTCTAGTTTGGCACCCGGACCAGCCGTGTCAGTGACTGATGTGTCAGAGTCTGTGAACCTCTGCACTTATATAATTTACAGCAGCTCTGCTTTAACCATTAAGTGTGAAGGAGCCCCCAGGGAGCAGGAATTTGTCCAAAAGGGTGTTTATGAAATGGATATATTTATGATTTAGCGCTCTAGCAGTGAGAACTGTCCAATTTTCAGGTACTATAAATATAATGTATAGTCACATCTGGATTATTTCAAATCAGACTATTCCCATTTCTTTTTGTTTTTTTATAAAGTTTATTATAAATAGTAAATAGTGCTGTATTATACACAAAAAATATCTTACAACAAAACAAATTATTGCAAATGTAAAGTAATAATACAAAACAAAATGCAACATAAACAAAAAGGTTTAAGACTTATAGGCACTCGGTAGTGCATTGACAGACACGACACGCTTGAAGAATACTAAATAAATAATGAACAGAACAATACTTGGCAAGTTCCTGAAAAGAAATGGGGGAAAACATGCAAAGACTGGAGTCAAAATGAATGTGAACGGGTAGAGACATATTTGGCTTTAAAAGAACATAACTACAATTTTTTGCAATTTACATTACTCCCTGATGACAGGTTTTGAGCATATATCCGGGCCGCATGAGGTATGAATGTATTGCACTTTCTTTGGGTTGCAGTGGTTGCGCTCTAACTCCACACAGCGTTACGATGTGTCCTACACTCACATTCTTATCTCACATAAACATTAAACACATCTCATCTCTGAGGGGTGTTCAGATCTTATCACCAGATCAATCAATGATACAAGTCCGTCCACATTGCATGAAGACTTACAAAGTCCCCTGCCTCTTTTTACAAAAACACACAATCTTGAATGTATTTAGTCTGTTCCTCAAGCACTACTTTTATGTCGTCTCTCTTTGTGTTTCAGAAATCCCGACTTGGTCCTTGAAGCATGACGCACAAAGCAGTGAGTTCCAGGTAACAGGAAACAGTCTTTTGGTCCTGATTAATCCAGTCTTCCATAGTTTTGACTAGCCCCCTGTCTGTTGTCTAGTCCAATAGGTGGTCAAAGGGTTTGGGGATGTTCTGTTCTCCAGACCAGCCAGAGGAAGCATCCTGCTCAGGCCAAGAGGGAGCACTCAGATAATGAATGGCACCTGCCAAGAGACAAAAGAGAGTGTATAAAGGTTAGTACATGACAAAGTGTGTTCAGGAGCAGCTGCTTTAATCCATCAGTGTTTTAACAGCAAAATGTGTGACACAGAGTGAAAGGTTAAATCCCTGTGCTGACAAGAATGATGAGGGAAATTCAAGTGGTTGAGCAGGTGTGAATAAAGCACTAACAATTAAATACTTCTTTAAAAGGGAGGCAAACTTCCAGGCCTGTGTAGTACTTGTATGGGTATTTGGAAGATCAAATAAACCATTTGATCAAATAGTTTTACTAATCAAGTCAGGTAAGTGATAAGAAATGTATTTTAGTTTGTATCTATGAAAATATTATACCAACCCCCCCAAAAAAACAGAGATTGAGCTTTTATCTACTCACAGGATCAATAACAACTCTAAATCTGACCTCCAGTGGGACACCTGGTTCTAATCCGGCCCTGCCAAGGGCCATAATCGGGCCTGTTAAGGAGACCCTTACCTTTCCTTTGCACACACACTCATACACACACTTGGAGAGCAACCGCCTGAAAGCTATATGCTCTCCCAGGAAAGGGCCAAATTAACAACATCAAGATGTTGCCACTGATGGGCAAGTCAACATGTGGTAGTGTACCTCAGATCAGGCCTATAACAACACACAGGCCTCCCCCTCCCCCTCCTTCTTGTCAAACATGCTTAGCAAAGTGGCTCCTTTCATTTGGACTATCTTTGCTACGTAAAGGTCGTTACATGCATAGATGAGGTAGGTTTTGGGGTCAGGAAAGGACAGTGAGTGAGAATTTGTGTTTGGGCAATGACCCCAGGATGCCTCTGCATTCAGCCACGTGGACACCGCTCTGATGTTAATTTAAACTGGCCACTAGCGAACATGTAATTCTACTAGTGATGGGGTGACTTGAGAGGCAAGCTCATCAGACAGGTAGGTACTATTAACCTACTGCAAGCCAGGCCTGCTCTGAATGTAATGCTTTATTTCATTGTGTAATTTCTAACATTCAAAAATGGCCTGAGATTACTAAATTATACTCTCGTAATGTGTTAAGAATAATGCTTAGATTCATATATTTAAAGATAAATATATATATTTAATGCTCTGTACCTTGCTCTGGCTGTACTGTCCATATTGATATGGCGGATGGTGGTCCACAGCATAAGCAGGGGACGTGTACGATGGGGGGCAGTAGGACTGGCTGCTGGGCAGAGTGGGCATACTGGCCAGCCCTGGGAGCCCCTCCAGCCGCTGGGAGCTGTGGCAAGTGGGGGCCATTCCTCCATTCGCATCTAGACCTCCAGTCAAGGGAGAGATGGCGTAGTCACTCTGGGTCTGATGTGACACTGCGCTTGGGTTCAGCAAGCCCATCACCTAAATAAACAAAAACAAAGGCTCTATTAAAGTGAAAAACACACTATATGTTTGAAAAGAAAATGTCTATAATGAATTTCTAATCTCTGTCACCGCCCATTGAGAAAGGTCAAAGTGCGCTTGCCCATGCTTTATCTTTGTGAGGTCTACCTACAATGCATGCCGAGTGGGCGGTTATATGATACATTGTGAACAGCTGCACTTTGGTTTGCGTGAGAGTAAGTAATGAAAGTGTCTAAAAAGGACTGACCAAAAGTTACAAGAATCCAAAAAGTACAAATAAATTAGATCGTTTGAAAACAAGTGTCACCCAGCTGGCGCATACAAATTGTATATCTACCAAGAAAAGCACATTTAATGTATAAACAGAAACACCGGGTGAACATCAGTTTGATCCGACCCGCACATGGTAAAAGCATAACATTATTCAATGCAGATAGCGAGACAGAGAAATCATTTTAAACACCAGGTGGGAACTTGAAGTTGTCCACTAACAGAAACTGCCATATTTTATTTATGTTAGTGAAATTCCACCAAGTCTGAAACAGCAGCACTCCCTGACGGCAAGTCTGTTTTGAGGTTGTTCCGCGGATTAAGTCTCAGGGGGGTGCAAATCCCGACCGCTTGCTTCCTTGGTGAGAAAGGATTGCTTTGGTATGCACCAGATCAGTGGTGAGACGCCAGAGACCAGCCACCACTGGAAATATAAGGTGCTCTGACCAGGCTCCAAGTGCAAGCTGCAACTGTGCTCATAAGACTATCACCTATCTAAAATAAACCCCCGTCCACTGCCAAATGCTGCTCTAATGGGACCATATCTGCTGCTGTCTGAACCACACAATCTCCCATGCACATAGTGGCGGCTTAAAGACTCAAGATACAATAATGTTAAGGACACAGAGTTGTATTCAAAATTGACATACAAACTTTTCCAAGTGCAAAGAGGTCTTAGTCTATTAACTATTTATGTCGGTAAATTTAATCACTTCTCATTTCCCCCTCTCCTATTAACCTAAAATCAGGAAATTAATTCTTTCCTCGTCTCAAATGGAAAATTCTCTATTGCAAAATACATTCAAACAGCTGCACTGAATGCACAAATTAAAAGAAATTATCCAACAAAGTGAGTCATTTGCATAAATTACACACTTAGTTATGAGGAGATAAATTACTTCGTTTCAATCAATTAAGACGCTGGAACATTCATGATTACATTTCCAGACTCTGCAAACATTTGAGGCATGCTGTCCTTATGTCCGTCCTGTACGAAGCTCTGTGAGGTCAATGCTCAAACCAGCCATGGCCCCTCCACCTCTGCCCTTTTTTATTGGAGTTCAAGTCAGTGGAGTGAACTCCAGCCAAACTCACTGCAGCTACAGCAGCTACAGCAACCACAGTGACAATCATGTGCCTATGTATTTAGTGGTGTAAATATAACACGTAACTATACACACCATCTTCATTGCCCCTCCTCTATCATCCCACATATAGATGAATAATGATGTATATATTATAAGCACAATTGCATCTTTGTAGCCTTCTGATAAACAAAGAGTCCATTTCAAGTGGGTTGAGCTTTCAGCAATGTTTGTCTTCACAAGGCCCATCAGTAACAAGGAGCTTTTTTATCAATATATAGTCATCCTCAGGCATCCAAACAAGAGAACCTGCCCAAGGCTGTTTTTTATCTGCCCCTGACAGGAGCCCAGGATTCTCTCATGGGTGTTAGTACCCAGCATGCTTTGCAAGTGGGCAATGCGCCCTTTGTGGTGGTTAAAAGCTCGTTTTACGCCTGTTATTCCATCTTCGAGGCTGGTAGGGAGCCACTGATGGACACTGATGACTGTGTAATCGACCATAATTGTCTTTTCAGTTTTGATTTGTGTCATCATGAGACATCCATACATCTCCTTCTGTCTGGTCATTCCCTCCCAAAGACTGACGTCCACCACATTTTAAATTCATCAAACAACCCATCAGTGTAAACAAAAATGAAAAGCGAGCATGTTTCCCCCTAACAAGGTTTTCATCAAGCTCTCTCCAGGGTCACCCACAGGAGCGAGTGTGTTTGTGGATGTCATTCAGCTCCAATATGTTGCCTTCTTAAACGCCATGAAGAGCAATTTGTCTGTTTTCCTGAAAATTAACTGTGTGTCTCTGCACAGGCAGACTGCACTGACCTGTGGGGAGAGGCTGTTGCTGATGGCAGAGTTCACACCGGGGTTGCCGTGTGCCGATGAGGTCACAAAGCTCTCGGAGTACCCGGAGAAACCATGGCGTCCAGAAGACAAGCAGTAGGCCGACCCTGCGTCCTGGGGGCTGACCGAGGAGGTGATTCCACTCTGGTGCACTGTGGTGGGGGGCAGAGGCTGGGGCCGATGTACTGTGCTCGTCTGTTCAGCCACTGCTGAAAAAACAATTACAAGATTTTACTTGGACTTACAACATTATTCTTGGATGGGACAACACTATATACAGTATTATTTAGCTACTTTGTGTAGTTGCTTTGTGTACTTACCTTGTGCGATAGAAGTTGGAGGGTAGGGGCTGTCAGAAAGCTGATATGGCTGCAGACCTGGCATAGCACTTGGGGGAAAGCCTCCAGGAATAAGATGGTTGAATGCCATTAGCTGATTTGCCCCAGCCTGTTTTCTCCAGCGGGCTCTTCTGTTGCTGAACCATACCTGAAAACATAATATTTTAATACAAGCTTGTATTGCCTACTTATTTTCAGTAATAATTGATTTTTACATGACATTATTAGTATTTAGAATTTGGCTTGTTTGGGACATACAGAAAACAGACTGTCATACAGTAGTCTGATGTATGCATCATGGTGCTTATAGCTAAAGCTAATTCACAGCACTAGAGAAAAAAAAGTAAAATAAAAATACATGACAAGCACATGCTTAACAGGGAGACAGTTGTAGAGTAGCCCTTAAAACATACAAATCCTGAAAATAAAAATAAATAATATTCATACTAATAATGAGTGCTTTCACATCCAAGATTTTGTTACTTTTATGAATGTGCCGAGTTTTGTCTCAGATTTTAAATGGACAGGGAGCGTGTTCCACAGACTGTCACTTCTCACAGAGAAGGCTGATTGGGTGTAAGAAGTTCTTTGCCACATCACCTTACAGCTTCCACTGGCGGCTGCTCGGATGGACCTACCGTCGTCCAGCAGTTTATTGTTTATGGGTCTTTTCAGTGTTTATGTCTTGGCACCTATTGACCCTTGGCGTTTAAATATTCAAGCTGTGGACCTCGAATGAGTGAGTTCAAATGCCCTGGGGTTGTTTAAGGATACATTGGCACACTATCTGAATTTAGCATCAATTTTTCGGGTCTTTACACCGGCCATTTAAAAAGGCATAAATAGTCAACTTTTGAGGGACAGTGGTTGCAGTGTTTGAAAGGGTCACCGGGGGCAACACCAGCCTAATATTTTAAGGAATTTGTGGCAACATCCTGAGGCCATTTAACTGCATGTGATAAACATTGCTTGAGTTGCTAAAATCATGAGTTTGTGTCTAACCTGGACTCGAGCCTCTGTGAGCTTAGCTCGCTGCGCTAGCTCCTCTCTGGTGTAAATGTCGGGGTAGTGAGTGCGTTCAAAAGCCCTCTCCAGCTCCTCTAGTTGCTCTGCAGTGAAGGTAGTCCGGCTGCGACGCTGCTTTCTCTTCAAAGGCAACCCTGGCTCAGAGTCCACATCTGAAGCTTCATCCGAATGGCTCGCTGAAAGCACAAAACTGATTTTTACTACAGAGTTTAATTAAACTTTGGGAATACAAAGGAATTAAAACAATACAATATGCTGGCAGCAAGGCTACTTTATATGGCCTCCCAGTGTTTCCTTGAAACTCTGAGTATCTCCTGAGGGGATCAAAAGGCAAAAGGCTGCTTGAACATGGATTAGAAGAGACCAGAACCCTCTGGGGCATCGAGCCCGTGTCTCTGTCCCCTGTCCCGGGACATGCTGAGCGCAACGCCGATATAGGGCCCCGTGGTGAAAACCTTGCAGGCGCTTTGCAGGTGCTTCTTAATCTGTTTGTTCAGTTGAGTCATAAGGGAAAGACTGGTGACTGCAAGACAGCTATTGGGATCTAATTCAGCAGAAGAAGAGAATCAATGAAGTCTCTTCGCTAGAGACACAGTCTATTGCTGCGTTTCAGGGGGAGGTTACCCGTCTATTAAATAATGATTAGGCAGCACAAACTAGCGTGACAGCCTGCTATTGTGGGCCATTACATGTCTCAGAGCCCCCATCTCTCTCCGTCATACAAACTCACAAACATGCATCTGCTGCGTCTCGGCCAAGGGCTTTCACTGCTCTATGACAATGTGTCAAACGCAGATGGACTAAAAGGCGAAGAGAGTGGAAATCTACTCCCAAATCCACCCAAAGGAGACCTCTTAAGACAAGGGTTCACTGCACCAATTTGACACAGTGGCACTAAATCTAAGGCTGCGTGCATAGTGCAAGAAAAAAGTCGTGGCAATTTGATTTTCTTTGAGTATTCAAATATAAAATACTAAGAAACCCAGTGATGTGAATATTCTTAAAATAAGTCTTTCTTTCATAGAATTTTCTTATTCTTTCCTCCAATTGTAAAGCTTTTATTAAAAAGTGCCATGTCAGACGTGGAGGGGGATACAAGGATCTCCCCTCACTGGAGCCAAGCAGGAAATGTTTGTGCCGGTTGCCAGTGTGCGTCTGACCAGGCATTACACACGGATTTGGTCGCTGGGAATGCTGCCGGACCGCCAGCGCAGGAGATTCAGATGCTGAGAGGAGCTCTTTATTACACTGGAACTGAGGGCGCCACGCTGACATGGAGGCTCACAGAAGATTGGTCCAATGCTCCCATGCTGAAGTGTGGTTTGTTTAGGTAGGATACAAATCCAAACCACACACCAGAAACCGTCACAATTTCCTTCTTCTGAGAAAAGTAGCATTGATTACTCTTTACAGTTTTACCAATCAATGCATGAAAGTTTGGAAATTTGGGTGATAAAAGGAAAGTATATTGGCCAGTGTATTGCAGTGGGAGGATAGCTCATAAAACTGCAGCCTTCACTGGCACAGTAACTCATGGTAACTATGGCTGGGGGTGGATCTGCTCCTTTATTCCACTTTTCCCTCTTCTTTTCCCTTGTGTTTTTATTATTAGTATCCACAGACAAAACGCTCTGTCACAGATCTCTTTCATACCAAATGACAGTGTTGCTTTTGTCATCCACTTGCCTAGGCTTTCTTTCCTCGCTCTTCCTCCCTCACTTTTTTTTTGGAAGTGATGTGGCCGGGCCTTTGTATGTTCACTGGGAAAAGCCTGTGGCAGGGCTCTATTGGACCGATTACCACGCTCCATCTGTAGGAGCCATCAGGGACGGCCAGGCCCGCATTCAGGGGCCTGTCACCTGCCCAGCAGGGGAGACGGGTTGGGGGGGAGAGGGCTGTGGGGGAATGAAGGCTGGAGGAAGGGGGACAAAGAGGGCCAAAGCAGGGCCACAGCAGGGAGCAGGCCATCCCTCCCTCTGTAGTGCAGCTGGGGGAGGGCCAGGGGATGCCTTGCGTGGAAGGGCACCTGAGGAAGATGCTCAGAGCAAGTCCAAAAATACAAATTTCTTTAAAAAACGCTTTTGAAAATATTTCCTGCATCTAGTTTCTTTTTTTAAGCTGTTGAAGATGAACCCAAGACTTTGAGGTCCCTGTTCCCACACATTCCCCACAACAAATGGCAGAAGAGAATCCTAAACACACAAAAGGAGGCCTCGACCTCCTCACTTAAACACCCAAATCAAATTTTACGCTGCTGCTAAAGCACTAGGCAGCTGAAAGTCCTGCACAGCAGCCCACAATTTCGCATTTGCTCGAACAAGAATCTTAAAGAAAAGATGGATGATTATCCTGCAAGCGGATATTGGGTGTCTGTAATACATATATGATTAAAACTGAACTAGTAGAAATGACAAGCTTATTAAGATTAAGACAGGTACAATTGAATCTTTATCTTGGGTCTTTCATATGGAAGATGACTGTGTTGATCAATTTAGAAAAAGAAACCAATGGGAAAACACATGAGCACAGTCATAATACATTGCTAGAATATGAAAAGTATCTTTACGAAACATTAAATAAAGGCACAAATAATTATCAACATGTGCTATGTGTGTGTATTCAAAGGACAGCTTTAGTCAGTGCTTTGACCCACGCAGCTTCTGGTAAACAGAACCTATTGATTCAAAGATGAGACTGACAGGCAGGAAAGATAAACTCTCCAAAAGGTCACACATGTGAACTTGGGGAACGTCCAGATCTATTAGCTTCACCTGCTACAGAAGAGCCTCAAACGCTAAGAAAAAGCTATGACGGGGGCTTCCAAGCACAAGCATAAAAGCTGCTCTTGTTTACTGCAAGACGAGAGCCAGCACCGTCCTTTGCCAAGCATTTACCCCCCCTCCTTTTAAGGCTTCAAGACGTTAATGCAGAGAGACATGCATGGTGAACCAATGTAGGCTACATATGGGTATAAAATCACACATGGATCCTAAAATAGCAAAATGTATGTTGAAGTTAACCAAAGTGTTTGCATGGTGAGTGTCATTCCCAGTAACATATGGGCTTGTTTTATGGCTGAGCTACAGGGCTGGCATAGCCCTCCCATCTAAGGCGGTTAATAGAGAAGCTAATTGAGTCTGTGACATGTGTTAGCAGCTACAAAACAAAAGGCAGAAGAGACAAATGAACTAGCTATTCGCCCAGGGAAGTAGATCTGCTCTTTTCAAGACCAGAAATGCATAATGATGTGTGTGTGCGAAAGATCGGACTCTGAATAAACCAAACAAAAAGCGGCAGCAACGTGAGCAGATGCACAGGAGGCAAAAGAATAGTTAACTGACAGCTTATAGCCTCAGCTGGGGTTAACAGTTACAAAACACGGGGAGTGAGAGAGTTGCTCACTTGACTTGCTAAAGAGCACTCCCTCTCCAGGAACCTGCAGCTGCATGTGAAAAAGCTGGGGGGAGATGATGATGTGATGGACGAGGATAAACTGGACCACAGATATGACTGATGTATCTGCGTTCATTAGAGACAAAAACGGCACAAATGGCCCCGTCATAGCCTTTGTGCCGGCCCAGTATGCGGTGGTTATTATTTAGTTCCACTCCGGGGCAGTTAGGTGACAGTTTCACGGTGCTAGTACACCCCCAGGGCCCGTGGACAAAGCTACATCGAGGGGGGACCTATGCACGCGGGGCAGCAGGCAACAGGCCGCTCCTTCTACACGCTCCAGCCAAGAAGCACACCCCAGCTTGTTTAGGCCAGACTGACAAGCAGACTTGCAATTACAACCATCTCCATTGACTGAATTCCCTAAGAGACATCGCTTTTCCCAAACATTATTGTAACCTGTGTTTTTTTCTGCTTCTTCTTGCGGTCCTGATGGTTTTAACAGTCAAGTGACCCGAAGTTAGCCCCTGACCTTTCACAGCTACTGCAGAGAAAACAGCTTCACGACTGACCCTCCACTAAACTTCACAGGCACAGCTCAGACAGGGGCCGAAGCATCATTACATTCCTTCTACTGCCGCAGCAATTTACAACACCTCATATGCACTTTCACTGCACTTTCAACATGTTTTCTGAAGCAGGAAAAGAAAGCAAATTATATGTAATACTTTAGTGGAGGTGGGTGATACTGTCAGAAGTTCAAGCCGGTGTACCTAACTTTTTTGTTTCATAAATACATTTTGTTTTCCCAACAGAAATTCTCTTGTTTAAGTTAGATTTTGTGAACAAATCAGACCACCGACATCTTTATCCTACAAAACGTTGTATCTAGTTCATACTGAGAGGTGGTTGGCTGAGTGAAGGCCGGCACTCTCTTTTTCACTAAAAAAGCTGATCTAAAAATGTGACTGAGGCCAAGAATACATGCGTGTGAAAACTAGTGAGGTAGGAATTACAGGTACATGGATTTTATAAATGTTTGTGTCTGTTCTTTGTTGTGGTTTAACTGGTTTTAAAGTCAAGTACTCCAGCGTTAAAATATATGGATTTACTCTGGACTATTTTAAAAACAAACTTCAGACAAAGTGGCAATGTTGACATTAGAATTTCAGCGACACAAACACATTTTAAAAAGTATACTAATGTTACTGTTGCTTTGCTCTCACTGCAATTTTAAGTTTCTAATCTTGCTCAAATGTTAAAACAAAATCTCTTTTTTAATTTAATCAATTTACTTATTTATATTTAGAATGAAAAAACATCAATCAAAAATGTGAAGAGTCCATAATGTGCAGCGTGCTGAAGGCCGCAGCGAGAGGCTAAACAAAGTTAAGTGATTGACAACACTGTCTGGCTTTACTCAATTAACGCTCCCATTGTGGGCCGACCCTTTTCTCCTCTGCTTTCTTTATCCACCCCATCACAGAGTTTTGCTCGGCTAATACTTCCAAGGAAATGGAGAAGTCCTATTCTAACGGCCCCGCTCTTGTTGACCTTCTATTGCTAGCTGCTCCTTTTGCTGCCCGTTCACAGTGTCTTTGGGGTTAGTGAAGAGAATGAGGAGAGAGTACATCAGCGCCAAAGGGGCCGGCCCAGGGCAAGACCCCAGCCCCTTACTTCAAAGTTGGCCTGCATTCATTAATTGTCCTTTGAATTAATATTGGAGGATCACAATGTGGATGCCAACAGAGAAAGAGGCTTTAATGAAGCATAGAGGCACATTGAGTTGCAGATCAGCTAGTGTGTTTCTTCTGAAAGCAAATACTTGGGAATCGTGCTGGAATAATTAAAAATGTATTTGGAAAACTCTCTATGCCTCTATGGAAATATTTGGACCTGTTTGTTTCATTTTGCTAGAGTTACTAAATGGCATTGTAAGCAGTTCTAGCAGAGAGAGGCCCTGATGTAAATTGGGGAAAAGTAGGAGACATTCCTCTGCTTGCACCAAGGTTTTGTGCCTAAAAACCGTCTCTGGCTGTTGCCATTTTTACTTGCGTAGTTTGAAATGTGAGCGGTGTAATCTGCAACTATTCCTTAACCTCTATACAGCTACGTCCTGCTTGCCCAAGTATATTGCTTATACCACCAGACAAATGCAGATTGCTGAGAATGTACACGTTCTCAACCGCTAAATTGGATTAGATAGATGAGGCGGGTGTGTTTGCTATACCTCTATTGCGTTGCCATCCACTTTGAAAAACAATACCTCAGTTATGGATATGATCTGTTTGTTCTGCTAACTCGCTAAATTTCCTCCGCTCTAAATCCACTCTAGCAGCCAGTAACTCGGGTTTATTTACACAAACAAAGTTTCTACTCAGCTCCTTTGGACAAAAGCAGCTAAATCTTTCATGTTTTGTCAGCACTTGATTCCTCTTGTCCCTCTGGCTATTTGCCGGGCTCCTCACAATAGCGGCAGGAGAATGGCAGCAGATTGTTGGAATGCACCTCAATGAAACCAATTATTACATGTTGACTGCGTTCACCATGGCACATTGGAAAGCAGTGGCCTCATTCAGCTTGGCACTGCAGGATCCCCCTTTAAAGAAAAGTTATCCCTTTCACTGTTTGTATTTCAGAGGTTTTTTCTTCTACTCTCAAGCGAGCACCCCATTGCCATAAATGGATTCTGCAAGAGTGACTACCCAGCGCTCTTTTGAGTATTTGAATGGAGCTAAATTGTTAACTGTAGTAAATAGGCATAGGTGGGAAGTAACTGGATTTAGATAGACAGCTTGTGAGCGTCCAAAATATATGTTCTAAAAAATTGTTTTCTTTTTATTAGCATGCCTCGCAAACATAAAGAGTTGGGTTCTATACATGAATGTAACAATCAAAGAGAGCGCCTAATTTTAACTCACAAAAAATTAATTACAAAAAAGCTAAAAGATGTGACGGAGAACAAAAATACATGAAAACTATTGATAGAACCAAACTGAGTCAGGAATGAGTGTCTCTGCAATAGTTCTATGTATTTGTTACCTCTGTCACATCAGAAAAGTTAAAAAGATGACCCTCCTCATTCAGCCAATCAGCTCTCAGTATCTAAAAGATAAAGTGGTCTAATTTGTTCCCAAAACTTTACTTAAACAAGACTCTTTCTTGATGTATGTATCTTGAAGTAAAAGTAATCAAATAAGTAATGTATTCCCCAGCATTAAATATAATATAAATATCTGACTGCTACGTTACTCTAAAGTACATCCACACACACTGAGAGACACACACTTGTAAGTTCATCACACACAATGTCCGCGTTGACCGAAGAAAAAACATACATCGACTTCCTCACAACATGTAAACAACTTCCTCCATCACTGCCTTTCCCACTGCACTTGCTGATGCCATGAGCCCCGAGGCAAGACACTCTGTACTTTATCCCACAAACCTTTGCTGTTCTTTTTCCCAGACAAATAAATCTAAATGAGTCAGCTTTGATCTTAGCACTTAAGGGAAGCCAACAATAGTGCTGGGAGAGAAAGGGGCAGAGAGCAACAGGCCTCTCACTGCCGCAACAATAGCCTCTGCAAACACCTACTTAATCAATATTTGGCCAGAAGACACTCTCTCAAGTCCCCAAAGCACTCCTTTCACATTCTAATGAAGAGCTATAAAAGAGAAAAACAACAACTACATCCACAAAGAATGAAATAGTGCCCTGGTCTGTATAAGAATAGAAGAAAGTAGTTCTGAGCTGGAGGATGTCACCCAACTGAGGTAAAATAACTAACAACAAGAGCCTTTAAATTCATGCAGTTTAAACATGACGCACGAAAACCAAAGCGACCATTAAATATTATAAAGCAGTTGTAAATCAAAAATAAATATTAGGATGGTTTGCATATGTTTTTTTTTTTTCTAAAATGAAAGAGTGTCCACATTGACGTCAGTGTATGAAGTGGGATGTTGAAATATAGGGGACACATTCAGGCTCAAAACTCTTCTCGAAATGAAAGAGGCCATGCACTGTTAAAAGTCATGCACTACAGTCAGTCATGCACTCACTTTACCTAAAATGTGATTTATAAAGTTTTTATATTGTGTTTTGTATGTATGTTTTGTTCATACATTGTTTTACTTGTGTGACCTGCCTCGGGACTACAGATGTAAATTAGCAGTTTTGCTATAATCTGGCACATTTACAATCTGTGTACAACTGTATATGATTGTTCATTAATGTGTGTTGTCCCGATCAAATAAATAAATAAATAAATAAATAAAACAAGCATTCTAAATTTACTGCATTGAACAGTGACATGACGCCACAATCACAACATACTAGTTTTTGTCATTAATAATTAACTCGACAGTGCATTAAAGGACTTCATGAATACGCTGCGCTCTTGTGCTCCAACAGGTCGTAAATCAACAGGTGTTTGCCTACAGTCTTTTCTGTATTTGCCCGCGAGCCACATCTTTTCTTTCAAAACTGTAAACAGTGGGAAAAGCCTCTCCAAAAGGCTGCAGCACGTTTTTAGGAGTCTATAAACCAGGGCGCACTGGGCCCATTGCTGTCCCTGAATAATTCATCGCTCATTGCGGGTTCATAATGTCTTCTCCCGGTCTTTTGTGCGCGGACTTTTTTCTCCCTTTTCTTTTGGGGCGTTGTGAAAAGGCCTCGAATTCTTTTTGTACACCACTGAGCCGCTCACTGCACTTTGGCTTTTGTGCGCGTCAAACTGAGGTGTGGAGCTCAATAGACTCGCTCTGCTTTGTTCCCTGAAGTTCATCCTCAAGTGTCCAATTGAGTTTAAAAGGGGTTCTCAGGCTTGGAACTTAGACAAATGTTTGATTATCCACTTGATCCAAATGATCTTGCAAATTTAGTTAAAACTAAGCGGGAGCGCACTACAAACAGACCCTGCAGAGTCAGACCCCAAATTAGCCTATTGTTATTTTATTAGGATATTATTCTTATTGTTATTTATTAATATTTTCAGTGGGTTATAATTATTTCGTGTCTATAATTATTATGACCGTGTCATTGTGTGTGAGGGTTAGTTGTTGGTACTTACAGGTGCCTCCGAGGATACCGTCGATGCTGTGTTTGGTGCGCGGCTCGCTCTCGTCCAACTCCCGCTTCACCACCTCCTCTTCATCTTCTTCATCCTCTCCAAATTTGGACCTCATGATGCGGCTAATCGCGCTCACTATAGGACAAAGTAAATTGAAGTGTCAGTCACAGGTGGGACTCAATAACTTTTAGAATAAATGTGTGTTTTCATCGAGTTTCATGAGTTTTTTCAACAACAAAAATCACAAGGATGTTATACACGTTAACAGCTGTCTCACCTGAAGGCACGTTGTTTCTATCGCAGACTCCATCTTTCAGGAGCTTGTCACGAATCTCCCAGCTGAACATGCCTGGGTTTTCCCTCTTATATTCTTCAATTTTCTTATCAACTTCCGGAGAAGTCATTTGCTGTGGACAACACCAGATGAACATTTTTAAATTGCATTACGCCCCAACAACATATGAATGTTTAAATAAGCCTACAACAATGTCACTATACTATCAAAAGTAAGGATGATGTCTGTTATCTTACCTTGGGTTTGCTGCCTCCGATGGCCCCCGGCCTGATGGAGCCGGTCTCTTGATAGCGGCACAAGATTTTGGACACGCAGCCGTGGGACACTCGCAGCTGTCTGGATATGACGCACGGTCGGATCCCGTGGTGCGCCATTTCAACGATTTTGTGACGAATGTGGTTTGGAAGTGGCCTTCCATTTATGAAGACTCCACCGAGCTGGTTTACCCGGCCCTGGCCTAAAGGAGTGGACACTGGACCAGAAAGATAACACAGTTAAAGCGTAGTTAAGGAAAAGGAAAAACAGAAAACTTGGCTAACAATTAGAGAAAGGTAAATAACTAAGAATTAGGAATTGGCAAACTATTCAAGCATATTGTCATATAGATACAATAATACAATTTTTATTTTAGTTTTATATTTAGGCCCTTTTATTTATATTTACAGAATATACGAGAAATAATACTGAGTAAATCTTTAGTATCAATAGTCCGCTGTCACTGGATTGGTGCAGGCCTGAATACAGGGTTTCAGAACAAAAACTATATATGTTTGCACATCTAAAAATACGGGGGGAAGTTGAGGAAAGTGCTTTTTTACCTTCAAGGGAATATCCCCCGCGTGGGTAGTTCTGGTGTGGAGTTGGTCTCATCATTCTGGGCAGACCTCCGGCCAGAGCTGTCATGATGGCTGACTCCAGCGCCAGGAATACGGGAAAGTCCACACGGCGACTCTGGACCCACGGGACTCTCGAGGAAGTTTGTAATGGATGTTAGAGACGTAGCGCACGGAAGAATCCAGGTGAAAGTCGCGGTTTGAGTTTAGAATATGCACTGTACACGCACAGGTTTGCACTCCGGGGATGTTTGAGGCGGCGGATTGAAGTCAAACATTTTATCTGCGCCCCGTGTCCCCTCTGACTCTGCAGACGAGAGCGCTGATTGGTCCGAGCACACAAGCGTCCGCGCTCTGATTGGACCACTGTGCGCTTTGGGGTTGTCCTCGCGAGGTCCGCTTTTGAGTTTCAAGATACGCAGACAAGTTTTGACTTTACTTTTGACACACACACTGTAAGTAAACAAATAGATAACACTATTTATAGATCATTGGGTATTAAATATAGCTATAGACGGATAATGATTAAATGTGCAGTGGTATAGGTTTGACTAATGACAGCTGAAGGGAATAGCTATTCCAACTTCTTTCATTAAGTGAACCATTTGATTTTATGGAAAAATAAAAATAAACAAATAGTTTAAATACATTAAATTGGACCTACTTTTGTTGCCTGATAAAACTGCCGACACCTCTTCAGTTTCCCAAAGTACTTGTATTTTGTTTAACATAACAAGTTCAATATTCTGTTTAATAGACTGTTAAGGGCTTTTTTAGCCTGTATTAGGCTGATCAAATTAAAATAACAGAGGATTTAGTCACATTATTTGTCACAATCTTTGCTTTTTAGTTTCTGCAGTCAGACGTGTTTTTGGAAATCTGATCAAACGGACTATATTGTTGCACATACCACAGTTATTCCACATCTGCATCAGGTGCAATATTTAATTTGATAAATATATATTGATTGTAAAATGCATACAACTATTCATATTTTTATGTATTTAGGATCATTATAATTTTCATTATGTGTGCGTGTATGTATTGTTAAGTTGGGAAAAACTTTGTGGGTATAGTAGATATTTTTATCACATTGTGGTAAAAAATAGTTCAAATATGGCTTACTATGACACACCATGTGGAGGTAAAGTAATTGTTGACGCGTGAAGATTCGGTCTAATTTCCACACAGACTGTTGACGACCATCAAGAAGCTGTTGCACAAAATGAACAATAGGAGCCGCGCGGCCCCGTGCTCAGGCCACAAGGCGCTGTAACATAGCCGTGCCAATGCGCGATTTTACGCACAAAGAGGCACATGAGGGATCATTTGACTTTTTCGAAGCCTCGTATACTTGTGATAATTATGATAATTAGGCGTGTTTAATAGACCGATACATTTTTTTTACTCTTGTCCCTGAGGAATAATGCGGGCCGATTCAGTATGGAGATGTGCTGTCTACTCCAGCCACATTCCATGAATGACTGCCTGGTCACGACCTGCTGCAGCGCTGCATGCATCAGTCAGACACCACAACCTCTATGACGTAAACTGTCAATACACTTCTTTGTATTTGATCATTTTCTCATCCGAGCTGGGACAAACTCTAAAACACTATCAATATACTGCAGAGGTAACAAATTATCAATGCGTGTTATAGTCATTTTATACAGAAAGGTGTATTATCATTAATATTATTATTATTATTATCATTATAAATGAAAGTGTATTTTTGTGTGATAATCCTAATGAAGCCTAAGAATGCCAACTTGCGTTTGAAGACCACCAAATGTTACCACTTGTAATTTCCCTTATTTTCTATCTCAATCATTAAAGCATGGAATACATACATGGGACACATTGTCATAACATTTTGTTTAAAGTCAAAAAACAAAAAACAAAGTGAGACCACAACAGCCTGTCTTTATCGTATAAGAAAACATACCTTTTGCATTATTTAAAGAAATTAATACTTTTTGACGCTTTGGGCTGAAAGCAGAGAGTGTTAACTTTTTTTATCTACCTAAAAAAGCTTATCTAAAGACGTGACAGAGGCCAAATAGATAGAACTGAATTGTTTTAAGAAACAATTGAGATGGATTCAGTTCGATTTAGTTGCACACCAGCTTTAATCCCGTCCCATTCTCTTTATTTATGAATCACACACATTATTTAAACAAATATGTTTTTGATTTATCCCCTTTTAACAGCTGTTCATTCGACATTCTCCTTGCCTGTAATATCCTTATTTTTGAGTTTCTTCTATTAAACAAGGGCAGTATTTAGGGGTAACATCATGCAGTTAACACGGAGCATATGGAAACATTATACATCCATAAAAACTCCAACGGCCTTAAAGAAAGTTATCATGCTAAAGTCTGACTATCATGAAAAGGATATTGGATCTAGCATGTCAAATCAATTATAGTGGTAAGCTGAGTCCCAAACGTGCAACGGTGCTGGTGGTAGACAAAAGACCCAACAAAAATAGTCCCTAATATAGTTTTAAGACACAAGGGGATTTCACAAATACATTTTAGCAACTTATTCTAAAAACAGAGTAATTTTCTGTGCTACGGTGGTAGATAAATGAGAAGCCAGAGGCAGATGGATTTGATAGTTGTGAGATAAGACTTGAGAACAACGGCGCTCAGTATATTAGTGATAAACAGCAGATCAGATACAGATAGACTCATGCATGGTAAAACAAGCATATTACTCTTCATAAACAAACTGCAATAATGTCTCAATTCATTCCTCGAAATGAAAAACAAAAACAACACGTCAGGATTTGCGGTTTGTGAGACCAAAGAAGGACTATAGTGCAGTCATTAATTAGCGTAAAGGTATTGGCTTTTTTATGGTTGTTTAAGAGCATTAAAACAACAAGTGCCCATAAAACAGCATGAGTCCGTGGGCGGGTCCTCAGAGAATAATGCAACTGCTGTGATTACATTGAGCAATAATAAGTGTTTATATTTAAGATGGCCTACCTGCAGAGAAGACCTATACTCTTATAGACTTTCCACAAAAGATTTAGTTAAAATGTAGCCAGACATAAATGGCTCAAAATCTTAATGAATTAGTGTAGATTGTAAAATGCCATATAACCATGATATTTGTTTAGTAGTAACCCATAGTGGGATGCAGTTGTGATAGAAAAAAAAAATATATATTGTTAAAACTAAAAAACACATTTGGTTTGCCCCAACAGAAAGAGTCTAGTGTATGGAACATCTCATATAAAATCAGCATTCATTGTCTAATATTATAGACAATGAATTTTTCTTTTGCAAACCTGAAAGATGGAGCTCTGGGAGTCACTATCTTTTGGGCTGAGAGATGATCGGGTGAGCAAGAGTGGTGCACTGTTTTTTCCACTTTTCTTTCTGAAAAATCTGATCTAAAGATGTGAGTGCAAACATGTGAAAACTATTTATGGAAGAAAACTGTTTTGAGCGCTAGGAACTTGTTGGATGATTTTGATAATACATTTTTTTGAGGTTAAGTTGGAACCCCAGTTTTAAGTCATCATCATTTAGCAATTAATCATAAATAATTGATAATGGTTATTTAGATAACTATATATTTATTTATAAGGACTTTTAAAAGCAACATTCCAAGCAAAAACAACTCAAATTTCCATTGAATCTATTGTTCTCAAAATACTTTTAGTCTGTCTCCCTACGACCCCTTTTATCATGCTGGATTATGGATTTCCTCATTAGTCCATATTTTATGTTGTTTTGAGTGCACTTTGGCTTTGAATTTGATTTAAAATAATAATCGCCTATAAGCTACAACCATAGTCTTGCAAGAGGAGTCGCCCCAATGAAAGAAATTGGGTATTTTAGGAGTAAAAACATCAGTAATGAATTATTATAAAAAAATACATTACTGTTATTTTTTTTGTATATGTAATAATTAATGACTGATGTTTATACTGCTCAAATATCTGATTTCTTACATTGGGGGGACTCCTCTCCCCAGATATGACCTGTAACCTATGCCAGTATGCCATACTGTGGAACATTCCAGATAAACAACTCTTTGAAGAATCCAAACAACAGTATTGGGAAGTTGTGGAATGCGCCATGGAATTTTATTTTTATCAGTGCAGTATAAAATAATTGTAACAACAACAAATGTTTAGTTTTATGTTAATAATGTTAACGTGAATGTGATGACACCTCGAGCTCAGTTGGTAATCTCGGTGGTAACATTTAAATGGAAATACATCTTGTTTTTTCTTTTTATTTAACTTTTTGATAATCTTGCGATTTCACGAATAACCGCTTACTATAATAGCTTAACATTCATAATCTACAGAATGAAAGAGTTACACTTTACAACAGAACAATTTGCATACCAGTCCTACTATTTAAAAGCACATGATCAACACAACGTTCTCAGTGTTTCGGGTGAGACATTTAGATAAGCATCACCCAATTTCCAAATGAGGAAATCTACGCTGTGATGATACAGGCCTGTGTTAGCTGTTACAAAATCTCTCCTAAAGAAGCTCTGTTTATCCTCAGTGTTTGATGTTAGTCCTTTTCACCCCACCCCAGTTAGACCCAATGGGAGACGTTAGCATCACAAAAGCCTCGGAGGTGCACCCAGGTGAGACAAACAAAGGTAAAGTAGAAGTAAAGCGCAGAGCCTCTGGGCAAAAGAACGGTCCTCACGTTGTTGGGAGAGACTGTCGCGTGGACCAGAACGCCACGGTGGTCTCATGATGTACCTGATTTGTATCTGTCAGGTGTGTATGACTCACATGATCTTATCTAACTACTACTACATAATTACGCTGTTGATTTGTTTTAAATTCACCATGAAGAGAATACCAACTATGGTGTGCGATTATAGTAAAATAGAGCTATCGCCATTACAGCGGTATGCAGAAGTCGTGGTTTTTCTTTTGTTGCCCTGATTTCAGTATTAAGATTAGGATTAAAAGATCCTTTATTCATTCCACAGTGAGGAAATTTCAGTGTTGCATCACCAGTTACAGAACAGTAGGAATAAGTACATGTAGCATGCAGCACAAGATGAATTAACAATCACTCT